CACACAACACCTAAACTTTCCATATCATTCTCTTCAATCTTTTCTTCCATGTCAAATTATATCAACCTCTAGATTTCCGCCCTTCCGAATTAGGCATGATAAACACTGTTCTCGGCAGACACTAATGCGGTATACGTAGCACATTGCCTTGGCTGCTATTCGCAGTTCTGCATAAAAGTACCGCTACTTCACCAAAACCCTTACTGTATTTTCTAATCGGAGTGAAACTGTCAAGTTAGAGGATATTAGTGGGATCACAAAATAAAAATTTTGGAAAAACCTCACATTCCTCGCTATCCTTGGGTCAGACTTATGTGAGGTTCTCCAAATCATCTTCTTGTTTGACTCAAGAACTTTCAAGTTTCAACAAAACTAGTACAGTCTGTGAAAACTCGAGGCCATCCGCTTCATTTTGAGGCTAATCAGGTACAACCAATTTCTGAATCTCTCTGCACCTCATTTCCAAATTCAAACTCAGTTTGTGTGTATGTTGCGGCAAAAAGTTATTCATAGGTGTTGAGGAGAGACTCATCGGACTTCCAAATGAACCTACCGTTCATGATGTTCTTTAGCCAAAGGGGCTGCACAGAGGTCCCTCCCTTTATTTTTTGTTGAAACAATATTCAAGGGAGTTTGCCTCGGTAGTACTCATGAATTTGCAAAAAGTTATCCATAGGTGTTGATGAGAGACTCATCGGACTTCCAACTGAACCTGCCATTCATGATGATTTTTAGCCAAAGGGGCTGCACAGAGGTCCCTTTATTTTTTTGTTGAAACAATATTCAAGGGAGTTTGCCTCGGTAGTACTCATGAATTCAATTAAGCAGATTTGAAAATAAATATTTACATATGTATGTATATGTATAATATGTACGCATCCACAATTTGGTGTTCAAGTAGAGTGTAAGACGAATAGAAATTCAGAAGCCATGAAGATCTCATAAGCACCAAGAATGAAACCGGTAGCGGTCTCTTCAGAGCTTAAGTGGTGTTGGAAAGCACTTTGATATCTTGAATACCTTTCCAAATGAAACGTGGTGCGGCCTTTGTGCAGCATATTAAAACGAAAGTTAACACAAAGGAGAGATTCATGTGAGTTTGACCCGAGTGTTTCGTTGACATCAATTTCACTTACAGGTAAATACATACAACATCCGGAAAGGTCCACTTATTCTTCATCAATAGCGCTTGGTAACTGTTTTATGATCGCTAACAGATACCCCTGGATCAGCTGTCTATCAACTGTCAAACCAGTGATCGCCATTTCACTTGATACCAACTAAAGGATCCTGCAGCTTCACTGTGGTCCGTGGAAAGTCTGCCAACGCATGTTTGTCGTTCAGGCAGTTTTCACGTCATATAAACATATGCTGCGTTCTCAAAACACACGAGCAAGGATCAAGTATCTTTCAAGTTTGTTCAAAACAGCCCTGGAACAAATTTCTCCAACTAGTTATCGTGTATTTACCCACTTCGCACGATTTCCTGTTGGGCTTTCAGGAGATCCATTGTTTTTACTCTCGCTTTCAACGGGGTTGTGTCCCATTCGAGATATTGTGATTTCGAAAATCTAACAAAGCGTCTAACCAGCTGTGCCTTTAGGTTCCTTCATATGACCCCAGAGATAAGGTTATCCGCACTATTCGGTGTTTTTGGTTGCCTTCTGATCCGAAACCTTCGGGACACAAGGGCAACTGTAACGCTTGACCGACTTGTACTACATACGGAATTCACTACTAAATTTTACTCACTCAAAAATATGGTTAGGATCTACGGGCACCTGTCGCCTGTGTTCTTTACACAAACGACGATGCCAGCTTCTTTGACGCCGCCGAACGCGGAAAATTTTGAATTTACGACTATCGACCAGCTTGTTTTTAGCAAGCCAGTCAGTGAGAAGATCATGAACATGAGCCAGAACAAATAATGTCTAACAACCGATTTACTGTAACTAAATGGTCTCTCTTGACATGGTCGTGTTCCTTGAAAGTCTACTGAGTGATTCCAAGACCAAGTGTGGTTTGCAAATGTCAGAATAGGCTAAAGGCAATTGCGCGATAAGCACTCGATGACACGGCCTCGAGATACAAATGCCTTGATCCTAAGGGTTTAATACATGCCATCTTCCCGGCTGCTAACCACGTTATAAATCTCCGTGATGAAACGTCAGATATACTGTAGTCACTCGAAAGAATACGTTCATATGATAGTTCGTCCCCACACAACCTATTTGCAATGATTCACAAGGTCATGTCACGTGTGACGGCCAACGTGAGTGGTTAGGTTAGTCGATGTAGCTGCAGCGTAATACAGAGGACAGAAAGTACGAATCACATCCATCAATCATGGAGGAAAATTATGGTGACCATTGGCTTGAATTGAGTGAAGACAAAGTAGAGTGGGATTACACGAGAAGGAAAAGGAGAATGTCATCAAAACAAGTTCATATAAATGCTGTAGAAAGTCAAGTAAGGGATAGTTAGCAGTGGATTTTATGGACTTAAAGTGGGATAAGGACGGCAATCATCCCAGAAATATTAGGCTTTATCTGTGACTGAACAGCAAGATCACTGTAAAATTCGTCGTCGGGTGTACAGTGTGGACACTGTGAACAAGCTGCCTTGGAACAGCCTATTATGGACAACAGTACTTTGGTGTAGCCAGCCACTTCAGTGCAATCCTCCTGGTTAAGTCTTCAGGTACCTCGTATCTGCCAATGATATGTACGGTTCCTCGGGTGCCATGAATCTGATAAATAAAGATGTATTTGACTAGGAAAGCCAATTTGATGGGATTAGGTTACATACAGCTGGTTGGAAAAGGATTACTTGATCTGCTTCATCCCCGGGGTTAAATGGCATCTGATAGGAAGCACAAGTCATCCCCGTTAATTGACAACAATAAACGATGGATTTTAAGGAAGACTTTAAAATGTGACACATATAGGCTGGGGTCTGCGTAATATTCTACGTACTTCAGCAAGTAAACCTTCTCCGTCCAAGTGTCTGAGCATTTAGACTTCAGGGGTAATATTGTCATCAGGTGGGGCAATGTGATAAAGCCCGTGGAATATAGTCTGTACAAGAGCCCGCGTTCGTTCAGTATGGCACACCTTTTACAGAACCAATAGTACCTCGCCCGAGTAGTGTGCCTTGGAATGTCACAGGACTCACCTTGTGTTAGTGAGAATTTCATCAAGAAACTTCAAAGGATTATGGTCTCCGTTTGTTGTGTGAAAAACTCCTTCTGCTTTGCCCTGATCAGCGTAGATGATAAATGTATCATTCACACAGCTATTTCCTCCATAATGTTATGGAGCTCATACTCCGAACGGCCCACAAATATGTCTTCGACAAACTGTCGCAACTAGTTATGCACTAAGACACCATCTGTCGGTTTATAGTAACTACATTGTAAAACGCTTCACAGTGATTCCACTCAGCTGTCAAAGTTTGGATAAACCCTCTAAATTACGTGATAGGTCTAAACAGACCAGGTTGATAAGCGGGCTTATAAGTACTGTCAAGCGCTTTAGCACTTGTGATATTTTTAAAAATACATTCACTACCAAACGACGTCACTACCACGTGCATTGTCTTTATGTTACGCGTTAAATTCAAGAACTTGGAAACCTTTACGTTGGCACACACATGGTTTGAATCTTACTAGATCGATCCCGCCAACTTGGGTAAGTCTACTTCATGGAGATCCGGGTACTGAGAACACTGAACACAAAGGTGTAGTGAAGCCCTTTGTGACAAGCATTCGTATGTTGGTGAATAATCGAGACCTATCGACCCTACATCCCACTTTTTGTAAGATGTCACGTTCCATCTCATCGGACAGTAATCTGGTGGTATCTGATAAGATCCACATATATCCGGCTTCATAACGCTGTCCCGTACCCTCTTTCTAGCGGTGCAATAAAGAGAGGCTCATTAGTCTGAATTACCCTCAGCTTTTGAAACGTGGTGGGTCATCAGCCTCTCTTTGGACAAAATGACTTTACGAAACAACGTGGGCTCTAATGATCTGATTTGCTGAGATCAGTTAAATTTCCGAATTGCATCCGAGCCTTCAATGAGTGAGGTGAGACGCAAACATCAGTATACAGAATTCTAATCAAACAGATAATTTGTTCTCAACCAAGCTAAAATGACTGACAACCAATTTACCAGAGTTATTGCAAATTCTGCTCTTAGGAAGTGGGCTTTATCATTGGTCTTTTGTTCATTTTTATTTTTGGATAAATGATCTGTTGGATATGATTCTGCGCGCGGATCCAAACACATCAGGGCCAGATGTGAGGCAACTTAAGACTCAAATATGAGAGAATGTACATAAGTGACTAACCAGACCTCGATCCTGTTGTCAGTAATCAGCTATTTCAAGGCACCTATTCCTCAGTGCCTACAGTGTTCACCCAACGACGAACTCGCAGGTAAAACCCAATGTTTCCGAGACATTAACATTAACGTTCACCAACTCCACTGTCCAGTGCCCTGTTCACCTGAACATAACTAATTCGTATGAAAATTGAAGCAATCAATCTGTGGAGGAAATTCAGACTTGTAGCTTCGTGACCACCATCCAGGATTTTTTGGAAAACCAGCAGCATGATAATCTGGAACCGAAAAACGCAGGTGTTTCTGGCTGCTAGCTATGTGGCTTTAAACTCACTCATAACGCGTCTTCATAGTCCAAGTAATCTTTTTCTGTGATCAAATCGGAAGTGGAATGTAACGGCCGGATATGTCCTGCAACGCTTTTTGAGACACGAATTTGAATGTTTCGTGTCATGCATAGACATACATGGGTACACACCAACCTATCGGCTGGACACAGACAATCGCGTGACCAAACGCGTGTTTATAAACGGAGAGAGTTTTGCACAGTTCATTTCAAGGGACACATTTGATCACACTGTACTGCATCTGTCATGCAGAAATCTCCTGCAGGTTGGATCACATTTTTGTTTTTTTAATTTGTTTCTTTCTAGTTGACTTTGACAACCCTCTACTACGTAGAGATTGTCCACTGCCACTGTATCCCCAGGTGAACATGATTGGTGCCCCCGTACACAAGGGACAACCAAAGAATGGGACTCAGTATGGGCCAAGCCTCATTAGAAATTCGGATATTGTCGAATTTCTCAAAACCATTGGTGAGTTTGTACCATATTTCTTTGGCTTTATCAGTCGAGTAGAATTGGCAAATTAGTTTGGTCCGACTTTACTGTTTATCATATTGTTAACATCGTACTACAGGTTCCTAGTTTACGTAGATCTGCAATAAACATCGAAGCCAATGTTAATGATTTTCATCCGTTAGAGAGCGAACTTTCGATTTTCCTACCGGAAATCGAATATATGTTAAAAGTAAGTGCACCCAAACCGGCCAATTGTATAAGAAGTCTGTCGTCTCTTGGCTACTCCTATCATACCTTCCTTCTACACTGTCCCTACATGAAGGTCAACCCTCTAAATGATCACTCTTCACCTTCTCTAGAGTTTTTCCGCTGGAATCGTTGGAAAACTTTCCTTGTAGGGTTGCCTCAGGGAGTTGCGGATCCGTCCTTCGAACTTGGCAATTTGCTTACAAACGTTTCATCCCCAGTCCTGGGAATATCATCAGTGTACTCACTAAAGAGAGTAGCTGGGCTATCAATGAATGGGTAGGTAGCTTGAGAGCTAAAGCCCTGATAAAACGTTTTGTGTATCTATGAGCAGTTTTCAAAGTTTAGGTCTAACATGGCCATTTGCACGTACTTCTGAAATCAAGATTAGCTGTTACTAGCTGCCCTGATATCGATAAGTTTTGTGACCCAACAAAGTGCTTAAACGGGAATTTCCACTATTTCGAACTGTGGATCATACGGAATACCCCACACTGGTGATGCATCATGCAGCAATGCTAAAACCCACTTCAAAGCACTATTGTTAGTCGAATTGCGAATTCGCATAGTACATTTTTTTGAATGGCCAGGTAACTGTCTCTGTAGGACAGTGAAAATCTGCCATATTCGAAATTGCTTTTCCCCTGATTAATTTACTAGTTACCGGGAGCCTTAAGCATCTTTGAAGGGTTCTAAAACAAAAGCTCACTAACCGCCCGTCTCTGAAGCGATCTCTACAGGCGTGGAATTTTGTCCAAGGCCTATGCAAATACCCGTTTTACTAGCGGGCAATTTCGTTCACTACCGAAAATATGACCCAGATATGTAGATGATACTTCCTTTATAAGGAAAAAAAGTTTTAAGTGTTCGGTCAAAAGTCTGTAAACGATTGATTGTTCCAGCTTATTTCGGTACATAGCTCTGTTCAAATCACACTATTTTGTTTATTGGGTCGATATCCCTTTTAAAACTGGGGCATGTCGCAGACCAACTCGGTCAGGTAGCTACCAGGAATTCAGCTTCGCCAATCTGTTGAACCTGAAACAAGGAGATGCCCTAAAATTGGTCCACCAAGCCCAACAGGATTGTAGCGACTGATTCCCCACAGAGAGCAACCCAAATCCTGACAATGACATCCCCTAGCGTTTACTGATTGCAAGCTGCAGCCACCATTCCCAGATACAGCAGCCAGCCTAAGAAATGAGGTCGTGAGCACCGAGGCATAAGTCGGTATGTGTCCGTCACATGTTCTGTAGTCTCAAAGCTCTCCATGCTTTCCAGATGAACGAATCACTACCGGCGAAACCAGTTTGAATTAAGTTCATACTAAGGAACTGAACCAAATGGGTTTACAAAAATGACCGCGTGTAAATCGGGTAATTGAGTGGACAGATGAGCTTTCGTATAAGTGAACACAAACGGCGTCCTCGCACTACTCCGAGAAACCCTACTGTAGGATCCATAAGCCGCCATATGACCCACTTCTCAGTTAGCAGATCTGAATGGCCAGCTGTTCGGTTGAGTTAGCTCGTATGAAGCACGTCAACCACGTGACCGGACATTTCAGAAACATGACCAAGAAATGTCATCTGTCAGTGACTGGTCATAGGTACGTAGCACGTAAGCGTCCCTGTAAACCACACGAATTGACTCCTACTGATTCCAGCTCACGAAATACCATAGAAAACAGCGTTAAATTCACTGAGATGGGTAAAAGAAAATTTACTTGAGCATCAGTTTGGCTAAGAATTAGCGGAACGTGGATTTCAAAGTTAAAGAAATCGCACCAGAATCTAGCAGAACAAAGGGGGTGGATCAGGACAACCGCTATGATGATGAAACGACCAGTTGTTTTGTATCGCTTCTACAGTTTTTTCAAGACCTAACTGATACGGCTGAAAGGTTGCAGGGTTTTCTTTGTATTGGATGCGCTACCGCTAAAGACGATATAGTTTGATTATTACCCACTATTTTCCGTCGCACTTACCCTTCTTTGAATGAGAGTTGCCACCGTTTAGCACAGTGCAAGTCCAATTCTCATAGGAGGCACTTATCAGGTCACTTACCTAATCATCCACTAGTGTCCCAAAAAGTGAGAAGTACCGCACGAATGCTGGCAAGCAGTCAAAGCTTCTAACAAAATCCATGGCCTGGGCTTGATCAGGCATTATTTTGATTTATATTTGTTACCCGGTATATGCTACCTGGAATTCCGTTGAAAGATTAAAAATATTGATCATAGAGACACGCGAGAGAGCTTATTTCATTCAACTGATAAGGCGAAAAACGCAGTAGATTCCTTTTCAGAACTAATCAAATGTTACAACCTATACTTGGTGAAACCAGTTTTAAACTATGCTTACTTGAGGGCCTAAAGTGAATTTTTCACCTGGAACAGCGAATACAATTGGGCTCCGAAAGGAAGGCGCTCCAAAACACTCCGGTGTTAAGCATTCTCACGTGCGATAAAAATGCATGTCAAACAGAAAATCCAATTTGTAGACCCACACATCCTTAGGCCGTTGGGATTCCAAATAAGTGTCGAAAGTGCGTGGACAGCAGAACACACTTCTGGGTTAACGTCATCCCCTTCAGTCAGTAGAAAGTCTCAGAAAACAGACCATAAAAAGGCATCTCCCGTAGTCTTTCCTCTGGATTTCCAATCCATGAAAGGATAGGGTTTGCACTCTCCAAAGCGTCCCACGGTTTGTTTTCAGGGGAGTGATTTGCCCCTCTATGTTAATAAAGGCTACTAGGCTACGTGATAACAAGCGAATGCATGGATTACATCCAAACTGTTCATAAACCGGTTGTTCAATCTCAAAGGACGCGAAAACCTCAAAATAACTATCATACTGTTACACTTCTGTACATTTTGAGCCTACTGTCCTAGTGCAATGGATAGCATCGAGAAGGCATCTTCCAGGCTCTTCGGCCCTTTGAAGTAGATGCAGCTAATCATGTGAAAGTCAAGTAACCGTCTGTTCCCATCACTTAATATCTTTTGCCGCTGCGCAGTTCTTGCGCAAAATTCCGTGCTAGAAACCTGAATTTGGAAGTACCTGTATCTAGAACAGAAGGTCATTTAGTAAGTGGACGATTACATGAGATATTGTGTTTTGTTTCTAGTCGAAAGTCTTGTTCACCGGTGACTGTGCTTACATTTGGGGATAAGCGAAGCTTCCGAGTGGAAACGAGATCAAAGCTTTCTGCAGAATGTGGCAAGATCACCAGCGTCTTGTGCAGGTGGAAAGTACATTTTTATGAAACCAGTGAAACATCCCATACCTTCTTTGTGGTGAAAGTATGAGCAGGCATAATGTTGCATCCCGTTTTTTCAGAAATTTGGATAGCACGGTTTCGCTGTTCACTTGACCGAGTGCCAGCAACTTGTCCATAGTTGGGCTAGTGAATACACGCTACCATTCAAACCTGACCGGTGTCACCATTAGTAAGTAGGCAGAAGAGCGCCAAGTACTGATGGTATATATGGTATATATATGGTATATATATATATGGTATATATATGATACATGTATGTAAAAAGATTAACCACATACATGGTTATTCAGTCCCGAACTCTCTCAAAGCGTTGAAAATGAGAGATATTCCTTACATCAGTTCGTCCTTCATTTAGAGAAATAACCACTTTAGTTATCTTTTTGCGACCTATTGATTGCAGAGAGCGAAGTATTTATTTCGTTAGGCCTCAGGGGGCTTAATTTACAGGTGCAGACGACCACAAGACCTCGGTGGAGCATTCGCAGCAAGTATACCAATGCCGTCACAAGCCCGTCTCCACACCATTCATGATTTTCAGGATTCTTCTTTATGTCTAAGCTGATTCGATAATTAGAGTTCAGACGGTCCCATACTCTTTAGAGGATAGAATTAAGAATTTCTGCTTTGACACAAAGTAGCAATGAGCCGGATGTAGTAATTTCGAGGGCCTTAGATTAGGGGATTCCTTGTTGAGACAATGATGATATTCAAGAAACCTGCTAGCTTTTTAACCTGTAAGAATATGGGAACACATAATCGATAGGTAACGTAAGTTTCGCTATCTCTGAAAACCGTAACGTCGCTGATCTTAAATTTGGCTCAGGTCAAACTCTGGCTGTTGTCCTATGAAGATTTTTGCACCATTACGTCCCTTCAGTACATAGCTATTTCTAACTGGATTTCACTAATACCGGGAATGCCTGGCACTTTGTACACATTTCTTTCGTCTAGGTGTGAGCTTAGTGGATCATGGTGACGTCGCAATCCAAAATGATGACCGCGTGGAACCAAAGGTCTTCAATATGGTCAACTGTTACAGTTTCATTGAGACAACATGCACCATTGCAAAGCGCGTAGAGGAGCTACTGAAGGAATCCAACTCAGGTATCAACGGAAAGCATCAGCGGGCTTCTCCTCTGCTCGTAGTCGGAGGGGATCATAGTATTGCGACAGGCACGATCCTGGGACACAAACGGGTGAAACCAGATGCATGTGTAATCTGGATAGACGCGCATGCGGATCTCAACACACCCCTGACATCATCTTCGGGGAACATGCACGGGATGCCTGTTGCCTTTTTGATGGAGGAACTGCAAGAGGAAGTTCCTTACATGAAAGAGATGGATCCAATCGAACCATGGTATGTTTTATATAAGTATACTAGTCAATACTCATTTGTTCAACTTTTGCAGTTGCTTTGAGTTCAAGCAAAAAAACTCTGCCTCCTTTCTACGCAATCCGATTCCTAAGTAACTCCCATATAGTTTACAAATTATTGTACATTCTTGTCTGAAAATTCTGTATTGGCTTTGCTTATGAAACATATTATCCTTTAATTTCAGTCTGAAGGCCAGAGAAATTGCGTATATTGCACTTCGGGATTTGGATCCGCACGAGGTGTAAGTTGATCAGGAGGTTTTGGTTTTGGCGGCGTACTGCTTCGCCAAATATGAAAGGAACTACATTGCTACTCTAATGCCACGACGGTGTGACTGTTTACTAGATGGCCGATCAGTGGGAGAAGAAAATCCTTGGAGATTAATTTTGGTTCCATTTAAGGCCACTCTTTTAAATGACCAATAACCTTATTCCCTGATTGAAAACCAAATTGTACGCAGGAGTAAACTCAGTTGAAAACTGGCTTGGTGCTAGCATTCACCTGAATGGGGTACACAATGACTGTCTCATGTTTCAACTGGAAAGCTACTCAAGATATCTGAATGTTTCATGTGACATGGGGTTGGCTAAAATCCTTCTGGCCAACACTGCTGTTTGGCCTGGATACTGATTCCAACTCTGTCAATCGCCAGGAGCTATGACGTTGCTTGGTGACCAAAGTTGTTCCGTTTAAATTTCCATTCTTTATAAGGGTATTTATATATCGAATCCCACAGCCCAAGGAAAACATTCGCCTGATCACACCATGTCCACTAGTGTAAGACAAAACTTTTCTGCTTCACAATCTGTCTTCAACTTTTTCACTGAGATTGCTGCCTAAAACTTCTCCGTCGAGCTCTGATACTTTGACCATCGACATGCCTTTGGGGCATTTATTTGTCGACCCTGAGTAATCAGAGGGTACCGTTTTACTTATTCCAAGCGTTAGAAGCTACGAACAATTTGTGCTGACCTAGGGAGTTCTGTTGCATTATTTGGTATGTATCTCTTGCCTGTAAATTGGTAAAATGTGGCTGCATGATTGGACGAAGCCAGACATAGACCTTCCGCTTGTGAGCCAGCTGATCGATTTGGTAGGCAAATTCCTTTAACTGGGCTGCAGTACAAGTCCTGGAAAATTAGTTGGAGACGAGACTGTTTCTCAAATAGGGAAGGCCATGGGGGCAATTACCGACCGTTAACACCCACAGCGTCTGTTTCACCTCATTTTCCACATCGGAGAGAGTATACAAGGCGACATAAAGCTCTGTGGATCACAGAAATGACATTTACTCAAAGAAGATAACTTAATGCTTTCGGTATTTGACTATCGGCATTCCCGAAGGAGTGGCCATGTCCGGTGGGATACTAATACTGATGTTGGTGAGATGTGCCCTAGAGAGATGGGTGAGCTAACTGCGCTTCATGGGTTTCACTGGGTAAAACGTGAATTTCGCATTACAGTGGAGTGCCTACGCTGCATAATTCTTTTCTGCTGAACGCTGTGCTGGGTGGAAACGATTGAGAGAAGGACATTCTGTGACCTACCACGAAGTATGCTCAGTTGGAGGCAAATGTCGCCTACCGGAATGGGAGACCGGAACATGACTAGCCAGTGGACAAGGACACAGGAAACGGTCCGTGCATATGAAAACCGTTGCCAGCAATCTGTGTCCATACAATTTTCTATTTCAGTGGGTAACCAGAATTTAGTATCAACCGAACGATAAGGTCATAACGGCTTGATAGCCGGCTACTCCTCCCTCCTTCTCTCATATTTTGACAAACGAAGTACAACGGCCCGGGTGGTGACATGCCATAGTATGGTACGTGTCTAATGGTAGAATAAGCGTGCCTAACCAGTTCAGCTTGTTTCACCAAAGCCCTACAGTACGAAGGCAGCTGAGGGGTTCAAGATTTTGGATCTTTTAAGGCCTATCAGTATAACGATCACAATACTGGTTTTCATTCAGTTTAACGCAACACTGAAGAGGAAACTTGTGTCTGTTCCTTCCATAAAATACCTGATGTTTGAAATATGTTGTCGGCTGTTGCATCCGGTTAGAATAACAGTCCTCAGTCACAGTAAAGACATGACATAGTGCGTGTCCTGGCGTAGTTTATTCTTGTCCACTGGAACCTTTGTCAAGCACGCTTTTATTAGTTGATGAAATTACCACACTGAATCCTGACCAGTTTCTTTTGGAAATTTCAGATATGACTTACGAAAGAACAACATTACTCATTTTACAATGGTCGATATTGACCGAATGGGCATCGAATGGGTTATCAACAAAGCCATTGAATCTGTCAATCCTCGGTAGGTTGCGCCTTGATTTTGGCATTTGCTTTTGTAGTTTATTTATGGTTAAATTCAGTAAGTATACGTGTTGGGGATATACAGTAGTACTTTGGTTTGTCTGTCGAATATCCAAAACGACAGATTCATGCTTGTATGGAAGAAGGACACTCATAAAGTGTCATTTAATCATAAGTACCAGACTGGGCCTGAAGATCATAGCCTTAGGTTGTTATTGAGATTGTTTTAGCCTAAATGGTATCTTATGACCATACGATGAAGGCCTAACCACAATGAGGGTAATAACATGCATACGTCAGACAATGGCATGTCCAAATCTAGTTACGGTGAAACAATCATTCGGCTGATCTTTCTGTATACGACGAACTAACCGAATATGCGCACAATCCGTTGTCCAATGTTGACAATGGTGACCATCTAAGGCATAAAATCTATGATCAAAGGAAACTTTTCGTGTAACAGAGTGAAGCGATAACTAGATCTGTGAACGTTAGCCTAATGGACGTGTGCCTTCCTTCGACTGCTTGGACCAGCAACGTTTGCTGCGTTTCGTTTCTCATTCTCTAGACGTAACCGACAGTATGGTTCTGCCAAGTTATACACCCCCCCCCCTGAAAACACAAGAACTGAAACATTTGTACAATGTCTGTTTTTATAAAAAATTTCCAGATTCTCGCACGAAAATCATTGTTCCCACCCAGTCAGTAGCTGATATGAGGTGAAGCACTATGCACTATGAAGCACTTTCCCTGTTCCTTCCGTTAAGCATATCCTGGTAATCTTTAGAATCTGGGATTTGACGTGTATTAGCACTTATGCCCCATCCAGCTGCCTCAGATTCCCAAACAAAAAATGCCAATACACATAAGTATACATATACGAAAAGCTACGCAAATGGTCGGATTTGGACGGGAGGGGAGGGCCTCAACAGACGTGTTACGAAAAAACGCTGTTCTTCACCACACCTGGACTTCAAACCCGGCTGGCCACACCTTTGCTCATAGACTAACACAACTACGCGTTGAAAAAACACGCCTCCATTACCTAATGCAATGCAATTTTGGATGGTAGTATAACTTTCTGTTTTGCACAGTAAAAATCCAAAAGACCACTGTAGGACCAGAACAACAGAGTGAATTTTGCTGCTAAGCTTGAGAGTGTACTCGAGAATCTTTGTGAATAACTTAGTAATGCCATTTGGTTATTGGTTTAGTCACAAAAAATAGAAATATTATGGAATAGTCTAAGGAAAATTAAGTTCCATAGCGGCTTACTCACATGTTTCGTAAAAATAACTGAAATGTACCTAATCATCACGAAAAAGTTCAAGAAATAGTGGAGTAGCTTTTTGACCAACTTGCTCAAGTTAACCAGTTCCAACACCAACACACCGCGTCTGCTTATTGCAGTGGAGGTACGATGTGAGTGTAGAAAAACGAGCATCGTTCATCCCCGTATACAGCTGGAAAATCTACCTGAAGTGCAGAAATGTGTTGTTTTAAGCACCATGATACCTATGCCTACTACTTTTCGTTCTTTTCAAGGCTAGAAAAACCCATTCACCTAAGCTTCGACATTGACGCAATGGACCCAACGCTTGCACCAAGCACAGGCACCACAGTACCTGGGGGCTTAACAATCCGTGAAGGATTGAGAATTTGCGAAATGGTTCATTCCACCGGTAAGTTGATTCCCAGTTCAAATAGGATCATCAAGAAGTAATCTGATGGGAATAAGTTAAGTCCAATCAGAGTTACCATTTTCATTCAAAAGACGTGGTTCAGTACTGTGCATTCGAGATATGACCAGTGAGGCCGAAATACCTTAACCGAGAGGTGGTATGTAGCGAAACGGCCTAACTGTACAATTATACACACATATCTCAATAAGAGAAGTCCCAGCACATTCGCCACCTAAGCCGATCAGTAACGAGCAATACGAAAAGCTTAGGTCTCACTGTGAGTCACATCTTAAAGACAGAGAGATGGTAGTTTCCCTTCAACAGAGAGATCGTCTTCTGACTAGATGCACTTTTGACCAGAGGATAAAGCCTGAGGGTAAACCTAGAATTTATCCCAAAAGCAAACTAATAACTGGCCTCCAGGAAATGATCGAAAATGTCTCCCTAAAACTTCCTCAAGAACTGGGCATTAATCAGCACTAAAAATGAGTTCACCTTCATTGGAATTGTGCAACTATTGGGAACGGTCATATACTTGGTCATTTACTTCGAGTGGAGTTAACTGGGTATGTAGCTCGGTTCGTCTGAATGTACTTGCGAAAACAGATATGAGTGCCTCGTATAAGAAAAAGAACATGAAAGTACGTGCTTTGGATCAGATCAGGTGCACGTTGGCGATAATTCTCCACAAGGAAACTGCTGACTGGAGCCACTCGGTTGTCCACTTGTTAGGTTCTCATGAGAATATCCTCTTTATTTTGTAATGTGCTACTCACAAGGCTGCTGAAAATTCTTCGACAGCCCACGACCGGTTTCGCCCTTCTTGGGGCCAAACAGGTAGGCGCAGTCCCCGAGTTTCCGCCAACCTTACGTTTTACTTGAAACCAAATTGCACGACATCAGCGAATATACACTCAATTGCAAACTAATTTGGTTTTTAGGGAGACTCACCTTGAACCCAGCTGAACACTGCAGGTGAACCTAGCAGCACATTCAGTTGCGTGGAAACATCAAAACCGAGAGATTCATCTGGGTTCCAGGTGAGTCTCTCGAAAAACCAAATTAGTTTGCAAATGAGTTTATATTCGCTAATATCCTCTTTAGTTCAATCTGCTTCTGTGCAGCTCTGTGCTGTACGGATGGGCTGAGTAAGGGTATGTATGAGCAAATAACTAAATTGACTACTACAAGTAGCTCAGAAGGCTGAATAATGCACAGTTTGCGTGGGCTTCACACCTGAGAAGTCGTCAATCAACCACTCAGTCAAGGTGTGACCATTTGATTTTGATTTCAGGATGACTAAATGCGATTTGGTCACGTTACCAATCAGCCACTGGTGGGCGAACGGTATGGTCTTGAACCACGGTCGGGATGTCACGAGTCCTAACGTCCCTAGGGAATCGGGAGCTGAATATATGTAATGTAATTCTCTGTTTTTCTAACTGATACACTTCCTATAATCAATGAAATCTATAACCAAACCTCAAAATCTCTTCAAAATATTGAAAATTGTACCTCATTGAGTAGAGCAATTCATTTCTCATCAAATTTATTGCACTATTGGGGGGGGGCTACTGAATTCGTTAGAACATTTTTTACTCCGCTTTGTATCCCGTATACTTGCTTAAGAAAAGTGAGCCAAAGTGATCAGACTGCGCTGAAAACAATAATGCTCAAATTAGGAGAACCAGTACCACTAATCCTACGCAGTGTGTTGTATACTGCAGTTCAAACCAACTCATTCACCAGACTGTTGTGCAGTAATATTTAATCTGCTTACCGTCCTGAGCAACCTCACATGTTTAAGTATCCGATTTAATTGACCATCATGTGCATGAGTTCCAATTGTAACTGAGTATCCAAAGTTCCAAGTACAACTTTGACAGGTAATCTGAACAATTAAAGATAGGTTTAATCCGCAATCATCGCACGATATTCGCTGAAAAGTGTACTCATGTATATTACAGAGGCAAGCTTAGTTAGTAATCGTTAGTGTTTCCAAACGTGCTAAGTTGAATTGTGTAAATACCATGTGTCAACTGTCACATCTGATGTCGTACCAACCTACACTGGATGTTGGAGGCGCAGCAAACTGAACATTTCCATTTGTGACTAGCAGTTCGGTCAACCTATAAGGTACATATTGTCCTACCCCCCTCTTCTAACCAACTGCATTCGGCCTTCATGATTAGGAAAGCTATCCGTCATGGATTTGGCTGAGTTGAATCCAAAGATTGGGTCCCAGGCCGATGTGGACCGCACGAAGCACACAGCCCTCACACTACTCAAAGCCTGCTTCGGTTATCGACGGAGTGGCCACTTGCCGTTCAAAGTGCATTCTCTATCTGACCATGGAATTGTGAGTCGAGCAGACCAACAAGCATCCTGTCAAACGCGATGTATTTAGTTAACTTAGCTATACTTTTGTTTGCATTCATCCCAACGACCGACATTAATTTTTATTCCACGGTCATACCGATTCATTTGTTTATTTCTTATTGCCTATAGTAAAGATGAAAATGCACCATTTTGAAATTCTCCTCTGTAAGCGTGGGGTGAGAGATGACCATTGGATCTGACTAAACGGCGTTTGTCTAAATTATTTTCGGATATCACGAGGCGAGAAATATCCCCGACCATGGCGGATTTTATCGACCCATGTTTTGTCTGTAGATGATCGAGTCTTGTAGCGTTGATGTGGCATCATCCCCGTCGCTGTTTTGAACGACAAACGGAGAGAGCTGTTTGTGTGTTGAGAATGCGTTTGGTCCTATGGTAACTCCTGATGAAAATCCTAAAAACAGTCTGTTTGTTTAAGTTGGTGGTCCACATTGAATTGTGCTCTCTGACGGTTCGTAGATTGAGAGCAACGTTTCAATGTAAGGAATGCCGCGTTATCGAACTGTCAATATATTATCGTTCTCACGTGATTACATGTATTTGGTGAGAACAGGCCAGATGCATCGAGGGACGGTGCCCAATATGCGGAAGTTCTAGGCAGTGTAATGGAGTTAGCAATGTTGTGGAATGTAGGTAGCTCGTGTGCGTTGTTTGGTTGTTGGTCTGTTCGCCGAGCTTGCCAGTTGGATTGCAAACGTTTCATCACTAATCGAGGTAGCATCGTCAGTGCGGTGTTGAGTGGGTGAATTCCTCCTCTTCTGCCCGTGATTATATAGCTTCTAAACAGTAGTTGGTAGTTCTGGAGACAGTCGTCGTGTGGTTTGTTTGGTCTTCTGTGGATCTCACGTGGTTTCAACCTCCTGTNCTCCTGTGTCTGGTTGGTTCGTTGGAGTCCACGAGACATGGTGAGATAAGTGGAACAAACTTGGTTGACAGTCATTTCATGAGTTACAGTGTCAGACCTGATCCGAAAATATACCAGATATTATGTCTACATTCCACTGCAGCTGAACGGCACAGCCACTTGCCTACGACATTATTTGTCACCTTTAAAGTGTTGCCATCAACTCTCAGCCTCGTGGATATGAGTGAACAAGTCATTGCAAACTGGACCACTGTAGCTGATGAATATGTAGCAAGGATGAATGGTAGGGAAACGATGGGATTTCGGGTTCATAGAATGCTAGTGGAATAGATAAGGGTTGTGGGACTCATTAAATCAAAAACTCACTGAAGCGAGATCTATTGTAACAGATCCAAGGCAGAATCTACCAATCCAAGAAAATCTTCAGGTTAGCGAAAAACTCGTAGTACCTGCCATCCAACTGAAGTATTTTTTACAGAAGATCTCAGGTTGCAATCAGTTCCAAACCTTGACTGAACGAGTCAGTTGCTTTCTGAATCACCTATCATTACTACAATGCAAATAAAGAGGCAATGGGAAACAGTTGTACATATACGATGGTGGATTTAACCGAACAGTACCGTCAGTATTTCTTTGCAGAACAGCGTCAACGACTGCTAATCACTGAGGCAAATGACGCAGAAACCTGAGCAGTCAGTTTTCGATTGTCTACACGATAAAGCCGAGCAGTACCATACCGCATCACTTAACTACAAGACATTCAAGCCAGAATTTAGAGCTATAAACTCCTTATTTAACCTAATGTATATAGCATTCTGTTTGGGTCATATCTACTAGATACCGGTTTTCCAAACAGATTGATATTATACTGAGGCGAACGAAGTGAAGAGGCTTGTTTGTAGGTCACTAATGAATCGTTGCGCAAGAATAACTACATAACTACTACTTGGGAAAAGGATCATGGGTCTATTGTGGGCCAGCAAGATGTAAACCAAGAACCATGCTGTTGACTGCTTTCGAAGTCGTCATAGGTTTAGGTCACTATAGCTTTGATTTGAATCTGTTGAGTTTCTGAGGATCTACTTGTTGGTTAGAATATAAGCAGTATTTGTCTTCATATACTGTACTGCGTATTGTGTGCGATTTTGCTAAATCAAACCGTGAGAGATGAGTCTGTAGTTAATAGCCCAGGTCTCGGTATCTCCCAATTATCGTCATCTCTGAGCTAAGGTTGAATTTGGTCCGATGCCTATGAAGTTGCTTGAACGAGGAAGCAAGTTGCCCACTCATTACCACGTGACGCTGGTTTAGTCGTTCATGTCATGCGTCTCGCTGAGGATGTCACTCCGAATGATGACAAAAAGCCCGCCTCATGCGGCTCGCTCATCATCTCATGTGTCACTCCGAATGATGACAAAAAGCCCGCATGCAAGTCCACTTGTCAAGTTCGGCGAAGCGACCGACCACCAGCTGATCATAGACCAGTGCGTTGTTTGAATAATATGTGAGCCTTTTATGTGGATCAAAATAGCTTGACCGAAATGTCCGAATAAGCTGTATATTCAGGGTAGATAGTGACTTACCTTATCGTCCCTATTCATCAATTATAGGCTCTTTACACGACAAGGTAACATCTGCTGCGTGCACAAAATCGCTCCTCAGAAGAAAGCTTCCGCCAGCTAAAATGATGACCCAGCAGCCTTAAGGAAAAGTGGCACCCACAGATGATATTGACCGAGATACCGAAGAGGCGAGGGCACCCGATTTTAGTGATTTACTATGCATTGGTTACCTACCAGCCAACATACATGCGTTATCACAATGACGGTCAATAGGGTAAAGTACTAAACACCTCTTGATGGTGTAAATAAATCTTACGGCCATTCGGCCTCATCACCTGATTTTCGGTTGCCTCTTTAGGACACTTGTAATACGTCTGGCCACGCCTTCTAAACGGATTAGCGCGGAAACTCACTGTGCATCACGATGTGCCACACCCTCCAAGCCCTCACATTTTCGCTGCAGATTATCATGCTTTTCCAAGGGTAAACACAGTCCAATCAATTAACGACGGAATCATTTGGTAATCAAGTAATATTTTCTCGAGTCACGGTGACGCAAGTGATCTTTCAAGAGCATCTTCGATTGGTTTGAAAGACTGACAATTCATCAGACCTTTAAAATCGAACGGAACAACTAGGCCAAAAGACTTGCAACCTCGACTCCCCTCCACATCTCAAGTCACAACAAAGCATACTGGGCCCGTATCCGTGCCTACCCAGAATCTGTTCAGATCTATAGATGCCCCATGTACACTTCTGATCAACCAGTCGCATTGTGTCTCAATAGCCCGTATCCCTACCCAGAATCTGTTCAGATCTATAGATGCCCCATGTACACTTCTGATCAACCAGTCGCATTGTGTCTCAATAGGGATCGGTTGACATAAACAATAATGCTGATCTCTTCTGACATGTGCAGTCCCCAGTAGGATCTAGAAGCGTAAGTTTTTCCGAAGCTTTTCTTGTCGTTGTCGGGGCTTTGAATGCTTCACTTTGCAAACCTGGTAAACGTTGACAAAACAGTCTGTCTAACAAAACTGACTGTATTCGGGAACAACTTGTCCGTGGGACCAGTCTGTTGATCTCTAGGTTGAAGACAGCTGAAATATAATAAAGCAACGACGGTTGGAACTGCTGACTTAAACAAAGCACGATCCGTGGACGTGACTAAACGATGAACCAACAGCCTGGTCATTGATATGATCGGCGTGGGTGATCTGTGATGATAGGTGTAACATCAAATGGACGAGCTATGATATGCGCAAACAAACCCACGAAGATGGACGCTTTTGAGAGAACAAGAGCCACAACCTGATAAGCATGAATATGGTTTGTACATCTCCATGAAGGTAAAAGTGAACGCTCATCTACCTGACTGGTAGCCATACCTCAGTAGGTACCCCCTTGATCTGACATCCCGAGCCACTGCAATAAAATGCAGTCAAAAGTTTGTCCCCACCGCGGACCTCTGATTGGTCGCTTAGGTTTGATTTGCTTCTACATCGCAACATCATAAGGATAAATTAAGCTCATACTCACTCATCCCTTGCACCAGCACCATGGTTTTCACTACTGCTCCGTCCTTCTGAGTAACTGTCTCTCTGCTGTCCGTGTGTTGGCCATAATAGACAAAGTGGGAAGTTCAAGAACTAGAATGACGGCAAAGTTGAGGGTGGCGATATAAAGAGGAAACGGAAGAGACGAGCAAGTTAGGTTAAGGTGATAATTTTAGAACTGTCAGGCTGCCCTATCAAAACTGACTCCAACCGTAGGTTTGAATGGCCCTTTTCTCCCCAACCACTGAGACGATATTTGCTAATCTTGCTACGTTGGATTCGAAACTCGAAACCTTTTCATTGGCTGACTGCTGGTCGTTTGTGCCCACAAGACCAATGATTTTCATCCAACTTTAGCTGAAGTAAGGATCCAGGGCGTACAACCTCGACCTGTAATTTGAGTAGGTATTTTAGTAAGTGCGCATTATGCTTGTTACCCTTTTACACCCTTGCACTATGCGTCCGATCGGTTGGCTTGGTAGGATCTAGAGAAATTTGGCTGTCGTGATCTAATCCAAAAGCGTTCGTGCATATTTTTTCGCATGAATGCACTAAAAACCTCGTCCCTGCTCGACAACTTCACATACATCTGACGCTAAACTCGATGTCGAGGCAATATAATCGTGTGCTTCCACCATAGATCGTGTAGTCAAATTCGTCCACAGCATGGGGACAGTGGCATACAATACTTTCTTATGAACATCTGCGGGCAGAGAGCGAGTACGAGTATTCCCAAACCAGACTCATGGTAAACTTCTACCTTCTGAAGGTTGAAATCGCATCTAGAAAAATCTACCCTTCACTCCTGAAACGCTGGTTGAAGATGGAGAAAGTTGATGTAGTTCCTGTACTCGACTTCGGCTTCTTCTAGCAGGTACCACCGTGGTGAACAACACCTCCTTTGGAGAAGATTGTAGATTACCACTGTCTACGGACAGCTTCCATGTGTCACATCGGTTACAGTGCTGATTTGGCACTTATTCACTATTGGCGTTCCCTTAATGTTGCAACACGGAATCAGTTGGTTTAGAATGAAAACGTTTTCACCAATTTTGTTGTCTACATAGTGTAATCGCATGTTGCAGTGTGCAATATTCTCACTGGGGTTTTGTAGTGCTAGTTTTATTAACGGGAAATGCTG